AAAAAAAAGCACCGAAATAAAGCACCGAAATGTGCGCTGCTTTTCGGTCTGGTTACTACCGTTTATGTCAGAACCGGTGCCATCATGGCACCGGACACCGGTACCCATCCCTATTCTGGACTCTCCTTTTTCTTGGATGGTTGATATTTAAACGGATCTACCTTCACCATCACTGCTCTTTGCATGTCTCCCTCTTGTTCACACATATGTATTCTGCTTCTTCTGACTTTCAAACCTCTGCCTGCTTCCTGCTCTCCACAGAGCCTGGAACTCATCGTTAATGATCTCTGGGATCATCTTAACAGAGAATAGAATAAAAGAAGAGCTTTGCATGTCCTCCAAGAAGCCTGGAGAACTACTCCTGAAGACTACTTAAAGCTTGCCTGAGAGTTCAGCCCGTGCTGAAAAATTAAAGGTGGTCAGACCAAATATTGACTTTCCCTTCAGGTTTGCATGAGTTGCTGCACCCATTTCCCATTTTCCTGACCAAATATAAAGAAAGAGGGATGGCTCGAGAGATTTGCACAATTCCACATTCATTCAACCATCATAGAGCATCATGGGATCATTCTTACGGTGACACACCCTCTGAGGGGCACGGGACAGGGTATAGCATCATCTACCTCAATGCAGGTGTCTATGTAAGGGTCCAGCAGCACCATGTTCGGGAATGCTTTGTTACTCTTTCTCTCGCTGAGCAGGTATATCTGCCCAGTGACTGAGGAGCAGCCACAGAAGAACTTTTTCTTCAGACATTCCTCCTCCAGCTCCGTCCACTCATCTGTCTCCATGTCAAAACGAAGGGCTTGGCCTCCGAACAGGTAGAGGGCACTGTTGAGCTCCGTGGCAACCAGGTCGTATCTAAAGAAAAACATATTAATCTTTCCGTTTAATTGTCAGCTGATCATCCTGTATCATTTAATTTGAAAGCTCAAACTTCATAAGAATGTAAATCTGGCAGTGTCAGAAAGATACTCACCGTGGAAATGGAGAATAGGAGACCACATCCCACTGATCCTCCTTCGCCACATACCTCTGAATTCCACCATAAACCTCGCCATTTTCATCCAGCCCACACGCCACGTAGATACACGACCCCAGAGCAGCAGTGGCTGCCCTCTCTACGGCCCTGACCATGGGACTCACTGCCTCCCAACCCTCCTCTGACCCAAGGACCAGCCTTTCTACATCATCCACAAGACCTTCGTCCATACTTCCCCCCAGGACATACAGTACTGACTCGAGCCCTATGGAGCAGTGGCTGTGTCTGGACTTCTGCAGGGCTGGCCCGTCCACCCAGCGCTGGTTCCCACATTCGTAGATCCGGACCCAATCCACACTGAACCACAGAACATCCCGGAAGTAGCCACCTGTCACGACCACACTGTCTCCTAAATAAAAAGGAAATTTTAAAAAATCAGTGAAAATTGAATGTTCAATATTCATGTAAGATCATAAAAACGAGCACATGAAAAATCAGCACACATCTAACTTTTGCCAGTTTCATTATGCATCCATTACCCACTGCAGCCACGGAGTACTGTGTGAGGTTCTTCCTCTGCAGGGGCGCGCAGCTCTGCCATCTACCACTCATCGGGTGATACTGGAACAGCGCCTGTTCTTCCTGATCATGAGGACCGCCCAGCACGAACAGGGTCTCTCTGGCCCTGGTCCTCATCATTGACCTGCCCACTGACCAAGATGCTGGGAAATGTTCATTGAGCTTTATGATGAGCCTGGCTCTGGGGTCAGAGCTTTTCATTCTGGTCAAGAGTTCAGTGATGAAAGGCAAGGACAGAGACTCGGGCCTCACCAGCTCAATGAGCTCCAGGAAATATTCTTCTCGTTTAGGGTCAAATGACACCCAGCGCAGTATTGCCTCCAGAGCCAGATCGTCTTTATGGATGGTTAGGTCATCGCTGGCAAGTAGATCTGCTACTGACTCTTTTGAGAGTGACAGAAAATCCTCTTCAGCTGAAATAGCGGAGAAGTGAGTGAGCACCACTTGTCGTGCTGCGGCATAAAGCTGAGTGCAACCCAGCTGCCAGGCGTAGGCCATCATCCCCAAACAGTTGCTGAGGTGCAGCTCACGCTCCAGGAACTTACAGCACAGCAGCCTGGCTCGCTCTAGCTGCAAAAAGTCAGACGTCTCGAGGATGCCCGTAACATTTTCTCTGTCCAGAGACAGGCTGCATGTTGTGGTATATTCCATCAAGGTCCTGAAATGCTGCAGACTCACACCTTTAATCTCTACCTGCCTTTTGCTGCTCTCCAACCCACGGCCAAAGAACAGAGCCCTGAAGTAAGGGCTCTGCAGGGCCAGATGTTGACGGTTGACATAAAAAATCTCTCCTTCTACTTGTAGGCTAGCATCAGGTGTTATATCAGCCTCAGAGTCCTTCACCTGTGAAGCAGACTCATCCTCTTCTTCTGATACAAGCGTCAATTCAAAGCTCTGCAGTTTCAGCTCATGGTCACCTCTGTCAGCCATGTCACAACAAACAGCCACCCCTCCTCCTGTGTTCTGCTCGGATCCTCGTCCTCTGCTTTCCAACACACCAGCTGGTGCTATTAATAGACTTCCCCCCCTCGACTGACAGCAAAGGAAAAGGGGGTCAGTTCCAAAAGCAGATGCTGATGATAAAACTGTGAGTTATAATATAAAATATTATAATATAAAAACTAACTCACCCTATCATACCAGCCCCATTAAATTAGATCACGAAGAGTCAATAAAACCATTTTAAAAAGCAGTGACGTCATGTAAAGGCGCTCGGTGTTTTGATTGGTGGAACATTCTTGAGGTCGAAATTTCACTTCCGTGTCACGCAGCTAACATGGCGGTGAGTTCGTACATTCAAATACTTTTCTGCCTTTGCACCTTTAACGTTGTCGGATATGCTGTTAGCCCGTGAGTGTGTGTTTCAGCCGTAACCCGGGTTTAAATCAGCACGTTCAAAGTAATATAAGGTGTTTTTGTTGTATCACGTTAGCTAACACGGCTAGCCTAGCTAGCTGGGCTCATGCTCAGCTGGTGTTTGTGTGCGCGGCTAGCACACATGCGACTCACAAACGGCGTGTTTTGTTTTCTCTGCGCAGGATAAAGACAAAAAGAAAAAGGAGAGCATCTTCGACTTGTCCAAATACATCGATAAGCCGATTCGTGTAAAGTTTCAAGGAGGACGAGAAGGTAGGTGGATCAGTTATGATAACAAGCTAACAGTTAAGCAGCGCTGCGGGATTTGCTGTCCTTATGTCCAGCTAATGGAGACTTTACACCGTGTATTTGTTTCCTCCTCAGCCAGCGGTGTCCTTAAAGGATTTGACCCTCTGCTGAACCTGGTGCTGGACGGCACTATTGAGTATATGCGCGGTAAGTGTGCGCTTTAAAGTCAAGACCATGCGAGGGAAAAATGATTTACAGGAACAAAGAATGACACAAGACTGCGCCAGCACTGAAGTGTTTTGCGTTTCCTTTAACCTGAACCCAAACGAGTCATTTGCAACACTGAGGCAGTGCCCAGACTAACCTGAGTGTTTCTGTGATCACATCTACTGAAGGAGGACCCAGTAAAATAAAATAAGGCTACTGGTGATGGTGAAAGTATTCCGATGGTCCCACAACTGGGAAATGTTATTTAGTATACTGAGTGGAGCTGTGTGTTTCACCAAGCGTTGATCCTTAGCTCAGGGCCGACCACCAGCCTCAGTGTGAGCTATGACAGCTGTAGCTTTCACTCACACTGAGGAGTTTTCATGCTAAAGTCACGTCAGCGTGTGGGTGTAAGTGTGAGCCCAGCTGAGTTAAATTAAAGTTTTGTTGTTGTTTTTAACTTAAACTGAGCCTCATGTTATTGACTGTTTGAAATAGCTACTCAGCTCCTCTCCAGCAGGTGGGTGGAGCTCCTGCACCTGAGATATTAAGGCTAAACCTTCTCAGCGACACCACAGTGAAGTTAGGGGTGAAAAAACTGAAACTGAGTAGCTCATAGGAGTTACTTGAACACTGGTGGGGCTTACTGTTAAAGCCGTGTCTGTATTTAGACTGATCGTGCAGCATCGACTGCTGTCGTAGATAATATGACGCTTACTTGTGTGCTCCTGCAACTCCTGTGTTTAGATCCAGATGACCAGCTGAAGCTGACAGAAGACACCCGGCAGCTGGGGCTGGTGGTCTGCAGAGGAACCTCCGTAGTGCTGATCTGTCCTCAGGATGGCATGGAAGCCATACCAAACCCATTCATACAGCAGCAGGACGGCTAACGCACAAGCTCTCCCCTGCTAACTTACACGTACTTGTACACACTTGAATATTTCGTTGTTTCTTTTCCTTAGTTTTTATTTCGTTTTAACAATAACGGTGATCATTAATGGAGCCAAGACGATTTAGTTAAGCAGCAAAAAGACGTTTGAATGCACTTCACTTTTATTTCAGTCTGATGTGCAAATTTGTAAAGATTTGTGTTGTAAAGAGCCCATAAATGTGGGATGTGTAAACAGTACCATTTTCTTTTTATCCAGAATAAGTGAACTTTTTACTATTCTTTGTTGTTTTGATAAGAAAATAAAGTGAAAATGTAATTATGCTGACTTTTGGAAGTTTTGCTCTACTCTGCTGGCTGCACATCTTTGCCTTCAGAATTACATGAAGGTTGTGAAAACGACCACTTTGAATGTGAGTTAGATTCCTGAAAGTCGCTGTAGTTTAACAGCAGCATGACTCAGCTCAGATGTGGTTCCATTTTTATCTGAGTGTCACGGGTTCTCTGCCATTTCACACCTCGCACTTTCAGTTTTTAATCACTCGGTAAAACCAAGCAAAGACTCAGAGACACAGGCATGACTGCATCAGCAGTCTCGTGTTTATCCTTCCTAAAAACTCCTTTATTGAATTGAGTTCCTGCTTTATTTTTCTCCTTTCATCCAGACTTCTGTGGCTCGCTCCATACTTTTGGACCCACTGCTCGCTGTCCAGCTTAGCCAGCAAAAAAATACGTCAAATGCTTAACAATCCAACGCCAATTCCAAAAGAGTTGGCACGTTCTTTAAAATGTGCACAAAAACAATGCAATGATTTGCAAATTTCATAAATCTGTAATCTGTTTGTGTGTAGTTGTACGAAGCAGCTGTTGCCAGTTGAGGCCCAACATGATCGGCTGTGGAAGAAGCATCTTAGAGACAGTTTCGCAGAAATTGTGAAATATGCAAATTGTGATGAAAGTTTTAGAACTTAAAGACTCAATATGTCTACAGTGCAAGACATCAAAAGAGGCCAAAAATCAAAAACTTTAATAAGAACAGACATGTACCTGTTGTGGAAATCACTGCACAGAGTTCACTGTGTCATCCACAAATGCACATTAAAGACAAGAAGAAATCTGAAGAGAAGCCACGTGATCCAGAAACGTCCCGGCCTTCTCTGGCGGAAAACTGTGATGGAATTTAAATTCTTATTTGAAAACTTGGCCTAAAGACGAGAGGGTCCATCAGGCTTGTTGTCGGCACCAAGCTCAAAAGCCTCCATCCCTGCTGTCACGGGGGGGTCAGTGTCTGTGGACGTGGACTATGTGCTGAGAGGTATTTACAGGTTTTAGACCAACACATGCTCCCACCCAGTCGTGCCTTTTTTCAGGCAAGGCTTTGCATATTTCAGCAATACGATGCTGAAACACATGAATCTGTTACAGCAGCATGGCATCATAGTACACAGTGTGCTGATCGATGTGCAGTCCAGTTTCACCAGCTGCAAACATCTGGAGCACCATGAAATCACAAAAATACAACAAGGCCGGAGCTGATTTCTGTTTCAGCCCCCTGACTTCACAGCGAGTGGTCGTTGTACTTAAACACCACCTGGTTATGTTCAGTGATCCGTGTGAGCGGCCAGTTAACAGTGTGATGATGTCGGTCATGAACTTAAAGTTTTGAAAGGAATACTGGGAGTGTGTGTTGAGTGTGAGAAGATAAACTTCAAGCCTGTAAACACACCAACAAAGAGGCTGTTGCACCTTTGTGCTTTAGCAGGGCGGGGGAATAATCCCAGTTTGCACCTCGAGCTTTACAGCAGAACGTGTCCATTGTTTGTTAAAAGTTGACCCAGGTGCTTTGAAATGAGGGACAACTGTTCAAATAATTACAGAGTAGTTAAACTGTGTTTTCAGTTATGGAAACTATGAATAAAGCCTTAAATACACTTTAAACTTGTGCACCATTAACCTCGATGCAAGAGGTCAGTAAAGTGTCAGACTGGAGGCGCTGTGGGCCTTAATGGTTTGCCAGCTTGTTGTAAGTGCAGAACTTGCAGCCAGGAACAAAAAGGCCGAGTTAAAGGAGGCTCGGCCCCTCCTCCTCCTGTTGCTCAGTCACTGTGTCAGTGGAGCACTGACGATCTCTGGAGCGTTTCAAGCCATTTTCATCTCTGCTTTGTTCCAACTTGCTGTACTGAAGGATGCGTGTTTGATATTTACCCGGAGACTGTGGACAGCAGGTCAGCTGCAGGTCAGCTATGAGGTAACAGCAGAAACACCTGTGCACACCGGGGTGTAACCAAAGGGATCAACAAGCATGGAAGGAGGGTCTGCCAGAGATTTGTGAAGACTTAGCGACTTTCAAAGGCAAACAGAAAAAGGTGGGTTACCTGCGGGACGGGGGAAAGGCACGCCTCCTGGCCAAAGGAACAAATAGCGGACCTCTTGGTGTCCTCGCCCGGTCTTCAGTCTCCGTGTCTGTTCTTGCTGGAACTTCGGGATGTTGTAAATGTCAGTGCTGAGAGCAACAGATGAAGAGGTGAGTGAGTCTACCTCAGGACATAAAGCCTGCATTGTTTAAAGCTCCGCTGTGTGAGACGTACCTGAGACGCTGTGTGCAGTTTATCTGCAAAGATTTACGGACGTTTTCTTGTCTTTACTGTGACCTTTCCCCACATCTGATTTGTGATTGCCAAGCGACATGGCCTCCGTGGTTTATTTTACGCGCTCCTCAGGCTGCGCCGCCGGGCGGTAACTTTTCTTGTACTTTTGAATAGTTTGAGTATTTATGATCATTATTTCTTTACTGACAAACAGTTTGTGAGAACTAAAAGTGTCTTTAAATGTAACTCTGTGTGTGTGCGTGTGTAAAAGTGTCTGTTTAAAATCATGCTCCCAGTCTCATGTCACACTAACTGCAGTGACACGCAGCACGTTTATTTCACGCAGGCTTGAATCGTTCTGCCTGTGAGGCATTATGCTGCTGGAGACAGTCGACGGTGGCTTGTGACGGCTGTGAATCCAACATGGAAGCGCAGAAGGATGAAGGCCGAGGGCCGTGGTCATCTTCGCCTCCCGCTCCCTCCAGCTCTGTCTGCTACAGGAGCGGCCTCATACTCTTCCTCCTCTTCTTCCTTATTATTGGCATCTTTGTCGGCCTGGTTATAGGTGAGCCTGCACACGAATGTTGGGTGTAATGTTTTGTGACTCATTTATCAGACGTTTTTAAACCAGCACGAACCGTTTAATGCATCACTTACTGATAACTTCCTCCTGCTTA